GTTTATGTTTTATGTGACTTTTCAGTGATTGACTCACAGGTGATATAGCTGCACTACCACTTCACTCAGCGACAAAACACTGTTTCGTTTATTTTGTTGAATTATTTTCAGGAAGACAGACTAACACGCACTCACAGAGCAAGAACAAGGAGGACCGCTGACTGTACGAAGCCAGAAACAGAAGTGCGGAGGATTCAGCTAGTAGGTCATTGTTAGCAGTTGCTTCAGACTTTCAAATGTTACATATTACGCAGCTTTGGTAATAGTTTAAACTTAACTGCCATAAGCAAATGCCATCTGGCAGCATTTTCAGAGAGGTTCTTAATAACATTTAGTAATTATATATAAGTAACAAAGTTCACTTGGTATTTCATATTGGAACATAAATCATGAAACTCTGATCGTAGTGTTAAACTTATTTGCCTTAAGCAAATGCTGCTTAGCTGCATGAACCCCATGTAAGAAAACTGATACTGAAAAAAAGAATTCTGGAGTCGACAGTCTACTTTTGATACAACAGCGACTTCTTGTGGTTGTTTATATTATTGTAGAAGCATCTCTCTGCCTTTTTTGATTTATGCTCTTTGCCAGTGCAAACTTTTCCTCCTGCACCAGCCTATTTATTACTTAAATATAAACAAATAAGGTACACCACTGTTGAGAGAACCATGTCCCCATTTTTAGTCTGTGAAACCATTAATTCAAAATAATTGCTGTTAAATTACCAAAATTAGTGTAAAATAATTTAAAAGAAAATAAAAAGAAAAAACTAAATGTATGTAATGCATGTATCTGGATGAAAATACAAGATATGATTAATGTTAGTATTAATTTTGCCATGAAACACTAGTAAATGGTCAGACCGCGACTAGGTGATAACAGTCCGGTATTTTGAAAGTAGTGTCCCAGCAAATGTAGGTCCTAAGCACCTATCCCACATTTTAAAATCTGCTGGCATTTTTTATGTTAAGTGGGTTTGTAAAATTAAAAAATGTCTTGAGACACTACTTAACTTGAAGGTCAATAAGCTTCCAAACAGATTAATGATGTGGCAACTCCTATTGAGCAACGGCAGCCTCCGGTCAGTTTTGACCAACAAGTTGGATGGAATGAGAAGGAAGCAATCTTTTCTTCTATACGTTTGCTGATGATTTCATAAGCACATTGTACAGATTGCTTTAATACTTAAATTTGAAATGTTGTGGATGATCATTTTTGAATCAAATGCCATTTAGAGGGCAACTATAAGGATATTTACCCTCCTCATTTGCTGTGTTATTTTTGTTAAACTTGGAATATGCATGCTGTATCCACATGTAGAAGGGTCTGTCTCCTCACTTGATCAATCAAAATCACATAGACCAAAATAAGAGGCTCCTCATTTATGTCAATTCTCCAGAGAGAGCCCAGTCACAGTCCCACAGTCTATGGGTCCCTGATAGTGGCCCACGATAAGGGTGCAAATTAGTTTCAAAATGCGTGTTGGGCACATCGCATTTAGTGATTGAGGTGTTTAATGTGAGGATGTAGGTCCAGAATCTTCTTCTACATTTACAGAATTTCAGCAATTCTATCACTGCCTTATGGGTGTAAATGTGAACTGTTTGGGTATAGGTCCCCTGAAAGGCTCCCATGACAGCTTAGACCAGGCATGGGCAACCTTCCTATGTTTTGGACTACACCTCTCATGATGCTTTGCAAGCATTATAGGTGTAATAGCATTATGGGGGATGTAGTCCACAACATCTGGGGTGCCGAAGGTTGCCTACCCCTGGCTTAGACTGTCTCGGCTTTGAATACAAGCAATAAGGAAACCAACTGGGTCAAAAGTAAAAGTAAAAAACAATGCAAGGAGATTTTGCAGTAAAGTCTCTCCCTTGTTCTTTGTGCCTTAAAGCTTAATCTGTGCAGCAATACTTTGAGGTGACACTTTAATGGGGATCATATTAAGATTGATAGCACGTTAAATTGTACTCTATAATCCAGGTATACGGTTTAAAAGTTACCATTCGATTAGTTGTGAGATACTCTGCATCTATTATTTCTGTTATTTTGTATTTCTAATTTCTTAGTAACTATTACAGGCATTCTGACTGATCAAATTAGTGCAGAAAGTGATTCTGTAGCAAGTTATGCCTTTGAGTTACACTTTTGATGGCTTAGAGCTCCCCCTGCTGGAATACGTCTTATTAGAGCTAGCAGGAAAGAGGATTAAAGTACTATTATAACCTTTATGTATAAATTCTAATAGCTTTGTTGCACAGTATGAATTTAAACATCTCTAATTCAAGTATTAAAGGGTTACTCCACGCATCATAGTGGTTATGATGCTAGGAGTGTACTTGTCCAGTTCCTCAGGTCTGGACAGTCTGCCCTCTTACCTGGGTCTCCACTGTGCTCTGGGGCTCCTCTACTTCACGATGACGCACTTCTAGACTCTACAGAGCTGCAGAAGTGGATGCCAATACAGTCTCCATTCACTGGCTGAGAGCATCACCTCCAGCAGCCAAGGGGTTAAATGCGGTATGTGCAGCTTTTCAGCACATGCAGACTATAGTCACCATTACCACTTCAGATCACTAAAGTGCTTCAATTAAAGTTATTGTTTTTAACAAATTATTTTCTCCCTCCTATTTTTCCACTTAGGGATTTTGTTTCTAAACCGTCAAACAGTCACATTCTGCTGATCCTTGAACACTGCTCAGCTTACAAACTGTGAAATGCGCTGTCAGTTTACAAACTGTGAAATGCGCTGTGTATAAACTGACAGGAGCTTCGGTATGACTGCTATCAGTTTTACTCACCCTGTGTGACAAGTGGAAATGTATGTGAGGAATAAACAACTTATCCCATGCACATCAGCTACATAATGGTGTATAGCAGGGGCGGGCTGGGAAGGGGGGCAGGGAGGCAATTGCCCCCCAGGCCGCCCTAAACCCAGGGCCACCAGCATCCAGCAAAAAAAGGAGATTTTTCAACTCACCTCGCTCTCCCTGCAGCCTGCAGCCAGCACACAGGAGCGGCCAGTGGAGTGGGCCGGCCTCTCCTGATGATGTCAGGAGGGGGTGTGACTTACACTGCTCCTCTCACAGGACCGCTGGGGAGTCTGGAAGAAGAGCAGAGCCCGGCAGAGAGGCCGACTTCACTGACTGCTGACTGCTGGCTGCTGGCTGCTGGCTGCTGCATGCTGTATGCCGGTTGCTGCCTGCTGCCACCCCTCCCTGGCCTAAGGTAAAACTCAGGGAGGGAGGGAATACACTTTAGTTTTTTTTTACCCCCCTCCTCAGCCCAAATCCCCCTTCCTAAGCCCAAATCCCCTTCCTCAGCCCAAATCCCCCTTCCTCAGCCCTGTCTACTTACTCAGCCCCTGTCCCCTTCCTCAGCCCTGTCCCCTTACTCAGCCCCTGTCCCTTCCTCAGCCCTGTCCCTTCCTCAGCCCTGTCCCTTACTCAGCCCCTGTCCCCTTCCTCAGCCCCTGTCCCCTTCCTCCAGCCCTGTCCTTGGGCCCTCTGTCCCTACCTCAGCCCCTGTCCCCTTACTCAGCCCCTGTCCCCTCCTCAGCCCCTCCCTCCTCAGCTCTGTCCTTGTACTCAGCTCCTGTCCTCTCCTCAGCCCCTGTCCCCTTAATCAGCCCCTGTCCCTCTTCCTCAGCCTCTGCCACCCCCTCTCAGCCCCTGTTCCCCTTCTCAGCTCCTGTCCCCGCCCTTTCTCAGCTCCTGTTCCCCTTCCTCAGCCCCATGCCCCCCCACCACAGCCCCCATAACATCCCTTACTATAGCTCCTTTCCCCCAATTGCAACCCATATCACCCACACCACATCCCCTTTCCCAAATTGTAGCCATCAACCTACTACAGCCCTTGCCCCCCCGCCCCACTACAGCCCCTAGCCCCATACTACAACCCTGTTCCATTTATCAGCCCCTGCCTACTGGCTTTAAAAGTGTAAAGTTTGGGTGTATGTGTGTGTATGAGTATGTCTGTGTGTGTCAGTATGTCTCTGTGTGTGTGTCAATATGTCTGTCTGTGTGTGTTAGTATGTCTGTGTGTGTCAGTATGTCTGTTTGTGTGTGCCAATATGTCTGTGTGTATCAGTATGTCTGTGTGTGTGTGTGTGTGTGTGTCAGTATGTTTGTCTGTGTGTGAGCCTGTATGTCTGTGTGTGTCAGTATGTCTATGTGTGTGTCAGTATGTCTGTGTGTGTGCCAGTATGTCTGTCTATGTGTGTGCACGTATGTTTGTCTATGTGTGTGTCAGTATGTCTGTCTATGTGTGTGCAAGTATAGAAAACAGAAAAAAGAAACCGCGCCCAGGTAGTATGTATAAATAAATATACGTACACAAATGTGTAGAATAAAATGTACTTCGAACCTCAAGAGAAACAAAGATTATTTCTTTTAAGGTTCGAAGTACATTTTAATCTACACATTTGTGTACGTATATTTATTTATTTATACATACTACCTGGGTGCGGTTTCGTTTTTCTGTTTTCTATGCTCTATCACTCACAAGGTTGGGAATCCTTGTATTAGTTACTGCAGCCCTTTGTTTCCTGATATTGTATCAGTGTTTAGTGAGCGCCTATTATATTTTTTTCTCTGTGTGCAAGTATGTCTCTGTGTGTGTGCCAGTTTGTCTATGTGTGTATGCCAGTTTGTCTGTGTGCCAGTTTGTCTGTGTGTTTGTGCCAGTTTGTCTGTGTGTGTGTGTGTGTGTGTGTGTGTCAGTATGTTTGTCTGTGTGAATCAGTATGTCTGTAATAGTGTGTCTGTCTGTGTGTGTGTGTGTGTGCCTGTGGGTGTGTCTGTGTGTCTGTCAGTGAGTGTGTGTTTGTTAGTGTGTGTCAAATCAGCAAGTGTGTGCCTGTCAGTGAGTGTGTCTGTGTAGGTGACTGCCCTCCCCCCCTTTCTATCACATGGCAAAGGTGATCTTACTCTCCTCTTGGTGCAATGGGCCACTTGACTGGAATTGGGGCTGTGTGTGAGTGTATGAGTGTATGTTTTGTGATGTATGGGTTGTTGGGCTGTGTATGAGTGTGTGAGTGTATGTATTGTGATGTATGGGCGGTTGGGCTGTGTATGAGTGTATGAGTGTATGTATTGTGATGTATGGGCTGTTGGGCTGTGTATGTGTGTGTGAGTGTATGTATTGTGATGTATGGGCGGTTGGGCTGTGTATGAGTGTATGAGTGTATGTATTGTGATGTATGGGCTGTTGGGCTGTGTATGAGTGTGTGAGTGTATGTATTGTGATGTATGGGTGGTTGGGCTGTGTATGAGTGTATGAGTGTATGTATTGTGATGTATGGGCTGTTGGGCTGTGTATGAGTGTGTTGGTGTATGAGTATGTATTGTGATGTATGGGCAGTTGGGCTGTTGTTGGCTGTGAATGATGCACTTCCTTTCTTTTGGTTCTTTACTTCCTGTTCCTGTTGGCAGTTGGTGGAATGTTCGAGGTATTTGAAACCCTGTGTAACAAGGTAGCAATATGAAGATGCTGTTATATATGTATTAATAAATTGAGTACTTGGTTATACAGGAATTATTGACTGATTTGTACAAAACATCACAGATACAATCAAAACCACATAGACCAAAATGAGAGACTCCTCACTGGTGTCTATTACCGGTATAATAATTATAAAGCATTTATTTCCTGGTATGATATTTGCCTATTGTATCCCATTTACACAGCTGTGCTGAACTAGGAACACAATCTATAGTCAATTAAGGATATACATGCTGTATCCAAACCTGACTAATAGCGAAACATGCAATATACACATAACATTATTATAAATAAACAAGAGTACATTGTGTGGCATCTATTACCACTTTAACCAACATTAGCAACAGGAGCAAAAACAAGTGTGTGGGGGGTGAGGGTGAGATATGAGAGAAACAGAATAGTGAATCGAGTGAAATGTTAATAACCTAAATCCCTCCTTCTCCTCACTCTAATCATTCCTGACCAAATGAGAATGGCCGCGAGAAAGCACAACCTCTCCAACAAATTCAGGCAACTTCTAGAACAGGGGATATGCAACCTTCATCACTCCACATGGCATGGACTACTTCTCCCATAATGCTCTTACAACCATAATGCTGGCAAAGCATCAAGGAAGATGTAGGCCACATGATCTGGAATGCCAAAGGTTGTCTATCTCCTGTTCTAGAAGATCATTTATCCTTAAGTTGCTCCATCCCCCCGTGAGCCTATACTTTCTGCAAGAACCTACACTTTACTAAGATTCATGCTAACATCCTTGTACATGGCAGGTCTACTTTATTGCGAAAATTGGAGAGCAAACTCGTTTGAGTCCCAGAAAGTTCAGAATAAATTGTCAACTCATAATTGGCAACTTGCTTGCCCCTCTTTGATTAGGTAAATCAGGATCAGCTGCTAGACTCTTAGCATCCTTTTGCTTTATGACAATATCAACTAACCTTTGCTTGTGGTCACAATTCCACGAGATGCTCTGCCACATGCTAGTAATCACCATATCCTGGATTAACTATGACTGGAGTAGCTCACAATAGAATTGTCACAAAGTGATGGTATCACCGATGCATTAAGGTGACAACATAGACTATACTTGGTTAGCACTATTTTAGTAAATCTTTATCATTCATTTACACGGCACCAATAATAACTGCATTCATACAAACATATTTTGATAGATGATACAAACAGATTTTGCAATGCATTTAGTTATGTAATTTACTTTCTCTCTTTTTTTAACCTATTAAAGGACCACTAAAGGCACCCAGACCACTTCAGCTCAATGAAGTGGTCTGGGTGCCAGGTAACCCTAGTTTTAACCCTGCAGCTGAAAACATAGCAATTTCAAAGAAACTACTATATTTACACTAGGGTTAATCCAGCCTTTAGTGGCTGTCTCCCTGACAGCCTCTAGAGGCCGCTTCTGCGATTTACACGGAGTAAATCGCACTTATTTGACACTGGACATCCTCACGGAGTCCAGCGTAAAAACATTTGCACATTGCTCATGTGCATTGGCTCCACTCTGAAGCTGATGACGATGGAGGAGGAGAGGTCACCAGTGCCGAGGGAGCCCAGCGCTGAGTTAAGGTAAGCAAATAAATGGTGACTAGGGCTCGATAGCATTAGGAATACATATTTGTATTCCTAACACTATAGTGTTCCTTTAATGACTTGAGTCAGAAAAATCCATTATCCATAATCCATGAAATCATTAAATCATAATGATCCTGGTATATCATCTTTAATGAATGTGTTGAAGGGGCAATTAACACGTGTTTATGAAAAAGGGAAGGTTTTCCATTATTTTCTAGATCAATAAACTCTCAGCAAGAAGTCCGACCTAAATTCTATTAAAGGGATACTGTAGGCACCCAGATACTTCAGCCCATTGAAGTGGTCTGGGTACCAACTCCCATTACCCTTAACCTTGCAAGTGTAACTAGATGGACTTCTGGCTTCTTAGAAGACTTTTGGTCGTCTAAACGACGCTGGACGTCCTCACGCTCTGCACGGGTTTGTTTTCCTGGCACTGGAGAATCCCTTTAAGGAAAAAGCTTTAACATAACTTAAAATGAATTCACTGCCTCTTGTTTATACATTATTACTAGGAATGAGTAGGATTCAACGACTTATTAAAGAACTGTTTCCTTCTAGAGGAATAGCCAGGCAGGGAGAATAATGAAAATAAAATAATTCATAAAATGAAAATAAAATAATCTACCTCTTGTGCTGCTTTACTCCTCTCCCTCTAGACTGTAAGCTTGTTTCAGCAGGACCGTCAATCCCTCTGTTCCTGTGCGTCTGACTTTTCTTGTTGCAAATATTTGTCTGTTAGTCCACCTACTGTACATCGCTACGGAATTTGTTATCGCTTTATAAATAATAATAATAATTAAAGGCATATAAATTACAGCCCACCTGTGTCTGTTTGCATGTTACCAGAAGACATCACTTAACTATGATGGTATCTACTGCACCTTAGCTATTCTGCGCAGGCATTGAAGATGAATCTTTACTTTGATGTGATGCTAATTTAAATCAGTAGGTGGCACTATTCGATAACTTTGTAGGATTCTCCCGTAGCATTGACAGTCATTGTTTTTACGCGCACCTACATTTGTCAATACACCATCTGCTTATAAATTCTACAAGTTTGATCCTGCATGACCATCAAGAAGTGTTAACTAGGATTTGAAAGACAGTCAGTCCAGGCAATGAACAGGCTTTGGAACACAGCTAATTCGGAAGCATGAGAATCATTGAAAACATAACCCACGGCGCTATTACAAAGTTGAAACATGGGTCAGGTCCTGCTCTCTAGTTCACGAAATTGACCAGTAATAGATTGCACCCCATGCAGAGCTGGCCCTGTGTAAAACATAAAGTGAACCTGTCATTATGGGTTTTCTTTGAAAGGTTACTCCATGGTTACTGTAGTGGCTATCATCCAAAGAGTACCCTGTCCCCATTCACCGGTACCTGAATCCTCACCAGGTGCCGAGGGTCCTCTGTGGATGGTGACGTGCATCCAACTGCTGCAGACATGCAGAAGCCAGACGCTGATTGAATTCACAGGCTGAGAGCTGCAGCTGGCTAATCTCAGCCAACGAATGACATTCTGTAGATATAAATATGCACAGAATTGGCATTAACCATCCCAGAACTCTTGGTTTTGGCTGGCTAATGATGCCTCTATGATGTTGTCAAAGGTGGTGTTACACCTCTAGTAGCAAAGGGGTTAAACTGACTATGTGCAGTGTTTCATAGTGAAATGCTGCCCATATAGACTCCAGTCACTATAACCACTTCAAATCACTTTAACTTACTCCCCATTATATATAGATTAACATATGTTAAAAAAAAAGCAAAGCTAATATCGTTAGCCCAGTTGCCCTAGTTTCCTAGTAGAAAATCTCTAGTTGTTGTCAGTATCACATTATGTTTAATTTTCTTGCATATTTGAAGTGCAACCTTCCATGTTTCCAGTGTGATACTGTATTTTAAAACAGGAAGCTCACTCACATTTTTAGTAAATCTAGCAAAAGTCAGGTACTTGGACAATAAGTCTTCTTATCTGCACACGTTAGTCAGCACACAGCCGATTGACATTGTAACGGATCCTTCTGTACTCCGACCGAGTACCTTTCGTTGATGGACGCTTCCTAGCTTGCGCCAAGAACCACAACCACCACAGACTCCACAGCCACCGTAGCTTTAACTGGAGTCGCACCATCTTCTGTCCACTCTGGATCAGCTTCTGTCCTCCAGGACCGTGTGGGGAAGACCTCTCCTCCAAGAGAGCGTAACAGGAACAGCTCTTAAAAAGAACTAAGTGATTAAAGCTCAAAGGAGTATGCAGAGCATAGCAATCCCCAGTGTGAGTATAGCTGTCTCCTCCAATCATGAGACAAGACTACATGTTGAGGGTCAAGAAGAACTGTCTAAAACTTAATTTTCCTTGGGACTAGCCCAAATGATCATTACATTAACATTGCTGTGAAAACTCAATAAAATTACAAAAAGTCAAATCATAGCAGGCAACACACAATGACTTATTATAACACAATGGCATATTTTCAAAGAGGTGGGGGAGACAATAATTAACAGAAAATATCTCATGTGCCTGCAGAATTAGCAATATGCAAATCTACCCGAATATGCAAATGAACCAGTATTGCTATTCAGGTAGTTAATATTGCTGTTGCTACCAACAGAGGGCACTAGACAAGCTCCATAGCCAAATCCACCTAGTTCGTAGCAAACCTCAGCAGTACAGGAGAGCAGGCAATACATTACACAGTACACACACACTATAAACAATTACATTACACACACCCTGCACCTATAATGGGTACAGGGTGACTAAAACATAAGAGAAATAAAGCAACCTACATAAATAGTCTGTCTGAAGGAAGAATAGGGGCTTTAAAGCCAAATACATCAAAGAGTCGTAACCACATGGTAGGAGACTCACCAACATGCTTCTCCATAACCCAGGGAAGCAGGGCAATTTGTCACACGAAAAAACAGTTACAAAAGGCAGTTTGTAACAGACATCTTTAATACACTAAGCTGATAACTAGCAACTATAATGAGTTTCTAATCTAAGACATCTCTTACCATTAGTTACATATCCTATTACATAATTGACCGTGTGTGTTAAACTCATTACAATATAAATGTTTTTTATTTAGATCTCAAGGGTTTTTTTTTACTATTATTATTATTGTTGTCCGAAAAACCTTAGAATATTGAGACAGATTACAAAACCACACCTGAAAATCGTGCATCTATGGGACCTTAAATATAATTCCAGGTTTGGCTGCAAAGGTATCTCCATCTACTGTGCACCTGTGTGTGTTAAAACTAAATTACTGGATGCTCATTCAACGCCTAAAATAGTATCAGGCATTAAGTACACTTTCGGTATAATGTTAGAATCCGAGTGTTAGCATTGCCATGGTAGCACAGAATGTCCCATCCTTTAGGGTTAGGTAGCACTTTACACAGATCTCATTCTAAGCTGTTGACTGATGTGATTGCATAGCATTGTGTCCTAAGACTACGAGCAAAAATACAAATACTCTCTGTCTGCAGAAAAAAATGGTCTTTGGAGCTGTCAGAAAGGATTCCCAAAGTTTTGGCACAGAATGTATCACAGTGTACGAAGGACTGTGTAACTAATAGAGCTGGGTATAATATTACCACGTTATATAACACAATCTTTGTTTAGAGACAGTGCAATTTTCAATTAATCTTTTTTATTTTGGATAAAATGTTTGAAGGAAGAAAGAGACCAGGGACTGCAGAATGTAACATTTGGAAGCAATCAGAAGAATCCCATTTGGAAGCAATCAAAAGAATCCTTCTTGTGCATTGTTAAAGTATTCCAGACAGAGGATATACTGTCTTTGTAATTTATTTATTTAAACTTTTAAAAATGATTAAAGTAATGAAGGAATCTTAAAGTTCTAACACGTATTACACAAGAAAACCCCTTTCCACTTGCAGACAGCCAATGATAGCATTGTACCCGGTTTGCTCTGAAGTGACAGCCGGCTGCTCATGCTAGAGAAAACTGGATATAACAGACGCGGCCTGAGTATCTGGCGGGACACCGGTAAGTTGTCAAGCGGTGCTAAAACAATTTGACATCTTACCAGGGGATAGCGCCAGAACACTCCCTTAATGTCCCTTTAGTGCATAGTGGAGAAATAATATTTGGTATTTTTTATCTTTACATTTCCTTTACCTACACCTGGGATATGTAATGAGGTAATGTCATCTGACGTGACGGGCCTATGATGAGGATATCGTCCAGATAAAAGAAAATTTCTATTCCTCTTTCCCTTATGAAGGCTATTAAAGAAACAAGAACATTCTCGGCGCCAGGCTGAGACCAAACAGAAGGCCCCAGAATTAAAAATGTTTCCCTAGAGTCCAGAATCTGAGAACCTTCACATGATGTTTCTTTGTAGGGATTTGATAGTAAGCGTCCCTCAGATCTATGGAAGAAATCCAATCCCCTTTTTTGATGCTTTTCATAATCGTTTTTAAGGATTTAATTTTGAATGTCCTTACATAGAGTTTAGAATAGAATTTACTTTTTTCAAATTCAGAATTAGACGCCATTTCCCTTGCGGTTTTGGAGCCAAAAACTCTTTGGAGTAAACGCCCTTGAATCTCTCTGCCTTCGGAACTTCTTCTATTACCCTTTGTTCCCGCAGTGTAGAGATGCAATCCATCATAGCCTTTCGTTTTGTGCCCGTTGATACCCTTGATTTCTTGAAGAAAGCTATTCTTGGGTAAGGGGAGAACCCTACTCCAAACCCAAACTGCTCAGGTAATTAAAAGAGAGTGCAGAACCTCCTCTGGAATACCCAAATAGAAATCACAACAGTGTCCCTAAAGGGTTCCCTCCAAAGGAGGACAAGTATTAACTGCCACAAGAGGGGGGATTTTTGGCCCCAATTTATAGGGGTAATGCATAAGGGGAATTTTTAAGGAGGGTCTACCCCACATTTTACCTTGCAGAACACCATACAAATCCCACGTAGCAGTTTACTACTTACACCGAACCTAACCCAGTTAGTCCTGCTCATGCAGGCTGTTTACTGGGTTCATCAAATGAAGAGAGACTGATCTTTATTTGGAAGGAACCCACGACAAACGCAGGAAGGTGGCCAAAAAAGAAAAAGCTTTTTAAGTCCTGTAGAACCAGCTAAGGACAGGAAAAAGACTTTGGTGTAAGGTGAGGAGGGACTCTTTATACCTATCAGTCTAATTAATTAATCTAATTAATTACTGTCCTGTGACTGCTAAGGGAGAAAGTGATGCTGCCATGCTTAGCCAGGAAAAAGTATTTTTTTTACATAAAACTTTAGAATCACATTTCCTCAATTTTCCTGTTGTCATACATTTTCTAAAATTTTCTACCGACTAGGTAACAGTCAAAAGTGATGACAAGGTACGTCCATAAGAAATGGTGGTAACTGTCATCCACAGTCGTTACCGTTTGGCAAGCTTAGCGTAGGGACCTTTGGTATACATAAAGTACTATACATGATATGCTGGTGGTTGAGATAATTTTTATGCTGGTTGGGTTCATGGTATCAGCATATCATGTCCTCATGGCAGTCTGCATCATGGTTCTACTGTCGCTATGGAGCTTGAAATTCAAATCTAAACAAGTCCGGCACTCTGCATCTGCACCAGCACAACTGTGGAAGAGAGTGTGAGTGTATAAAGCAAAATGGGCGAAGCAGCTCCGGTTTATTTCCCATCGCTGTATGACAGCGGCTCCCCATCCTCGGAGAATAATTTTAACATATGGAAGAAACTTGATGTGTCCACCGATACCCAACCTCAGATTCCAACAAAGGAGACATCACCTTGGCCTCCTGGGTTAGCAAATAACCTCTATAAACCACTTGGCTTTTTCTCCACACTTTTAAAAAGTTACTATCAGCCCAAGCCTAGCTACTACGATGATCTATGTGAGTTGGAGATAAAAATGAAGGAATGCGAGCTAATGAACATTACCGAGGATAATTTTGATGCCAAAAAATGTGAGTTCTTTAACGTTTATTGGAAGCACGTCAATATCCACTTGTAGTATCAGAAAAATGCGATCAGTTGATGCCTTAAATAGCCTGCATCTTTTAAAAGTGGCATGCGGCATGTCCTTAACGGTAAAGTTCTTATCGAAGTTTGAAGCTTTATTTCAAACCTTTGACCTTAGAATGTAATCTAAAGGCCTAACATGATCCCTTGGTAATATACAGCTGAAAGGTATGTAGTATAATCACCAATAATGCTTAGTGAGCAATTTGTTTTCCTATTAATGGGAGAGAAAGCGGTTCTGTTTGGTTTCACTTACAGTATAGAGTAATGTAAGTTAAATGTTTCTGTAAGGAGAAAAACTTAATAAAAAGTTATTTTATCACTAAAATTATTGTACAAAGTTATTTACATAACTAAATTATTAAAATCATTTTAACAAGCACAGAATGAATTGGAAGCCTAGAAACACCCGATACACGTAAGGTATTTAAAAGGTTACTCACTAAAGTAAGCATTGAAAGTGAGTTTCAAATTTAAGGCCAGAGTTGACTTGCAGACTTTTTCCAGTAGTTTGACTATTTTGGCCTTAAATTTGAAAGTCACTTAGAATTTTCAATTAGTGAAGAAGCAGAATTCACTAAAATGAGAATTTTCAGGAATACAAAGTGAATTTCAAATTAGAGGCCAAAGTGGCAAAACTTGAAAAGCTCTCCAACTCAGCTGTGCTCCCAGTTTGAATACTTTGGCCTTAAATTTTTTAAAAAACTGTGAATTCACTGTGAATTCTCAACATTTCTCAATTTAATAAATACACCACGATAATGTTCACAGAATCTCATCATCATCGTCTTACTGTCTGATGGTAGCACCTTTAATGCAAGTTACCGAATCCCTAGGCCAGCATTTTAAATGTATAAACGTAGACAGGGTTATTCACAAAAGAAAAAAACTAAAAAATGAATTTAAATTGTAAGCCCCGGGTAACCAAACAGGAAAGACAGCTGACTCGAAGAATGTTTCCAATTCAATTATTTTTACCTTAAATTTGAAACTGAATTTGAATTATCCCTTTAGTTTGCATTTTTATGGCATTTTGCAGGGATTTAGTTGTTTCCAGACTTTTTACTCTCCTGGCAGTGTTACGGTATCCACTCAAATCTCAAAGTAACTTAATTACTATACTAACCCATCTTTGGGGGCTTCTGGGCACCTGTGAGGGGTTCCAGGCTTCTGGAGGTATTTTTTAAGATTAGTCGTGTCAAAGAAGGATTGTAATGATGAGTGTTAAAGAGAAAGGAACTTGCTACTTGGGAGAGGACTTGGAGCGGCAAACAGAGGTGGCATTTTATTGAATTCTTATTCATTAACCAACATGATTGCATAAGACAGTGTCTATAGACTAGGAACAGAGATATACACGTTCACTGATTTGGCAGAAAAAAAATATATATCTTTTCACATCAGAAAGGCTTTCCAAACTTTAAGTATACCATGTATTATAATGTACAAGACATTGGGCAGCTGAAAATAAAATGACTACATTGTATATGATTATATTGTTCAGAACACACTGATTTTTATTTTTTTATTTTTATATTTGTAGATGAATTTTTGAAGGAAGAAAGAGACCAATTAATGCAGAAAATGACATGTGGGTTCAATGAACAGAATACTCCCAGTGGATCCTAAAAGAGATTTAAAGAGAAGACAATGGGTTATATCAATAATTATTTGGGGGACTTGATTGCTGCTATTAAAACCTTATATATTTATTCTTATATTCATTTGTTTCCCATTATTTTAAACATTTTGAATGTACTATGAATCTTATTTTTTGTGTGTGTGTGTGTGTTTAACTGTGTTATTCTCTTATTTTTGTTCAAAATTAATTCCACGTGAAATAATGTAGGTCATAAAAATTTTGAAATTTGGAATAACTCCGGTATAGTCACAGCTTGGATATTGTACTTTAAATGTTGCAATTTGACTTTTATGTTCTACAGTTTGGAATTTATTGAATAGCCCTAATAGAATCTAGGAGCCTTGCAAATTATCCTGAAAATGGTGACAGTAAGCTTTAAGTACGGTGCTCGGATGTTCCGTATGAGGGGGCTGGCATATAAAAATATATCACATGTCTACACTAAAATGTATTTTATAATACAAAACATTTTTAATGTTCCTCCCTAAATCCTTCACTAACAACAATAATGTTTATTAACAAATTGTAGGAACTTAAAAGTTTAGTATTTCAGATTTCAGACTCCCATTTCCAACAGTGGCTATAGCTAGGGTAGATAACGTTCAACATCATTTATTTTGGACCAGATTTTGAAGTCAAAAAAGGAAGGGCTTTTTTAAAATTTTGGTCTTTCAGCTTCTTAGTAGATAGCTCCCTAATCCTTGTGGGATTGCCATAAGGATACCAAAAGGAGCTATCTACTAAACAGCTTCCTAATATGGTACCTTAAAATATGGCAAACGAATGAACAAACAGACGAATTTTGGTTCAAAACAAACATATTTTCGTCTGAATGTATTCGGAAAAAATTAAAATTTCGATGTCTAACACCTGAATCCATGCAAGAATTATGTACTATATAGACAAACTTGGGGCCACACCACTGAAAAAAGGGAAAATATGAAGTGGTCTGGGTGCTAGGTCCCCCAGGTTTTAACCGTTCAGATGTAAACATAGCAGTTTCAGAGAAACTGCTATGTTTACATGGCAGGGTTAATCCAGCCTCTACTGGCTGTCTTCATGACAGCCGCTAGAGGCACTTCTGCGACGCTGGATGCGAAATTCGTTGCGAATAGGTTTTCATGGTGGCCCAACCCTACTTACCTCCAACTCTCCTGATATCAGACCTGGCAAAGTTGGCAAGTCTGCTAAAGTCCTTAAGAGAGTGTGAGCTCATAAACGTTCTTTGGTTATGAAAGCATCAAAACCTGTGCTCCTGAATGTTCCATACCAACATCAGTGATCTTCAGATCTTAGTTAATGTATTTTTATTATACTTGTATCTACAAAGGGTTGCCTTATGAAATTGTCTCCTCTGATTCCATATCTACCTTAGATACTCTTACTGGCCGTACTTCCCTTATTTAATTAGTGACTCTGATTCATAGTTCTTTATGCCCACATTATGCCTCCAAAAGCCTTATAGGGTTACTCAAAGCATTGTAAGCCCTACAGCCCACGGTAGTGGTTATGGTGCTAGAGGTACCCTGATGCCATTCCCTGGTAATGAGGTAAACATTTTTGCAAAATTTTCCCATCTTAGCTTGGTCACAGTCAGCGCCTGGTTTCTTTTGATGGTAGTTTAATGTCCTCCTGCTTCTGCAGAAACCAGATGATCATCCTGCCACTTATTCATTGGCTGAGAATGTCAGCTGAACTCTCTCAGCCATTGAATGAGCACCTGGTGCGTCCAGACCTGTTCAGGTGTTAGATAGTACAACGCAGCTCCCACCCATTGGTAACATGTTTCCTCAGTGCTCAGATAGTGATGCGCATGTTGGCTGCGTTATGCACGCACGATGTTTCGTGTGATTTTAGTGACACTTCAGAGGCATAGAGCAGAAGAGATACATGGAACGAATAGGAGGAAGAAATAGGCAAATAGGAGGCAATCGGAAAGGGTATACATGAACTTTTAGAGCGGGAGCTGTGTTGAACTATTTAACCCTGGAGGAAGTCTGGATGCACCAGACGAAATGCATAGGGTTTCTTGTTTATTTTTATATTTGATTCGTTATTTAATACTTTGTGAACATATCCATTTTGGTGGAATACCAGTGGCTTTCCACCCGATCCATTGACTGATTGGAGACTACAGGAGCCTGGATTCCAGTGTTTCATCTACATAATGGAGATGGCATTGTTTTATTAATATTTATAAATATATTTAATAAGTGCAATTCTTAATAAAACGTTGGTATTTTAAAGACCTGCACAATGTGGTTTTATTCTTTTTTTTTTTACATGAACTAACTGGAATAAATCAGAAGACTGGACGCAGTTATTGGGCTATACGCCTCCTACTCTTTAATATATTGTGAGTGCAATGTATACAAGTTCGTTGTTTGGTGCAAATAAAATTGCTCTATGTATGTTTTGTATTTTTCCTGTAGTATTGTATTTGTCTTTACATCAATTTGCATGGTATTTTCAGGCTATGGTAGGGCAGCAAGGCATAACATGTGAATTAGTAAATACAAAAAAGTGGGAAAAAATCTGATTTAGTTAATTAGCTTACTCACCTCCGATGAGTGCAGACCACAGTAATTGCTACCTCGCATTCAGGTGCCCAATAATGAAAAAGTAAGTGCAGTCTGAGAATCTCGGTGGCTGTGCTCTGACTCACTGAGTGCCAGGATTATGAGGGAGTGATTACTTTGGTCTGCCAGGGATGCAGAAAACACATTGTCACAGTGTCAAGAGGTTTAACCCCCAATGGACCATCAGAGACCCTAGGGCCACCTTGCCCAGGTTGGCCTATTGACCTATATATACACATACTTCATGGATGTTATATACCTTGCCCAGCTAGGCCTATTGTCCTATATATACACATACTTGGATGTTATATAAACTAAGCGTACTTCATATTTTAAACTTTGTGCGTTTTCTTTTTTTCTCTGTAACCGAAATATAAAGGGTAAATATGACATCCATTTAAAACTAGGGGCAGTTACTTGGAACCAGGGTAATACATGCTTATTCCTCTTATATTTGTCTTGGCTTAGAGACTTGATCTTCATTCAAGCACAACTGCTGGTTCCATTCTGTTTATAGCTCCCCTGTTTCCATGGAGACAGAACTTCACATTATGAAAAGCCTAAATGGTGTACTATCAGAAGCAGAGTTGTGTAACTCTAGTTAAGGTGAGCTTTAATATATATTTAAAAGACTTGTTGTGATGAACATGTTGTCAACCACCATCATGCATGTGCATGACAATCTGTATCATGGGTCCGTTATTACTATGGAGCAGGGAATTCAAATTGAAACAAGCCTGACACTGTCTTCTGGCATGGGGATTCATGTACAAGAGACTGTGAGTGTTTTTACAACAATGGGAGAAGCGTCTCCAGTCTATTTTCCTTCCTTGTTTGATGGAAATGACTATGCTTCCCCAGATAATTATTTTATTTTATGGAACGATGTGGCTACCAATGACCAGCCTCAATATCCATCAGACCAGCAGTTCCCAAAGTGTGGGTCGCAACCCACTGGTGGGTCGCAGGGCAATTCCCAGTGGGTTGCGCTGACCCACACATCCAGGGCCGCAGGGGACTCGGGCAAGCAGACTGACACCAGGAGGGAGCCCGGCGGCTTGCCCTGTATGCCGCCGGGCTCCCTCCAATCAGTCTGCCCAGCAGCTCCGGTCTGCAGCTCCGCTGGGTGCAGAGCTGCAGACCGTGTGATAGAAGTCTCGTGAGCACCCAGAGCGTTACCATGGCAACACTCTTTTATTACATGATCTGCAGCTCTGCACCCGGCGGAGCTCAGATCGGAGAGTTACCCCACTGGACCACCAGGGAGAAACTGGACCACCAGGGAATTCAGGTAGGAAACAGCCCCCAGACATCCCCCTCCCTCCCATGTAACCCCTTCACTCCCTGCCCTCCCCCAATGTAACCCCTTCACTCCCTTCCCTCCCCCATGTAACCCTTCCTCCTGCCCTCCCCCAATGTAACCCCTTCACTCCGTGCCCTCCCCTCAATTTAACCCCTTCACTCCCTGCCCTCCCCCCATGTAACCCCTTCACTCCCTGCCCTCCCCACACTGTAACATCTTGGTTACAGTGGCATGGTGTGCCAATTTTATGCATCTGACTGTTTGCCATGGTATGCCAATTGCATGCCTTTGAAGCTGATTGCCATGATGTGCCAAGTTTATGCATCTGAAGCTTATTGCCATACTGTGCCAAGTTTATGTATTTAAAGCTGCCATGATGTTCCAATTTTATGCCTCTAAAACCGATTGCCGCGATGTTCTGAATTTATGCCTCTAAAGCTGGTTGCCATGGTGTGCCAATTGTAAGCCTCTAAAACTGATTGCCATGGTGTGCCAATTGTATGCACCTAAAGTTGCCATGATGTGCCAAGTTTATACATCTAAAACTTATTGCCATGATGTACCAATTTTATGCATCTAAAGCCGATTGCCATGGTATGCCAATTGTATGCCTCTAAAGCGGATTGCTATAGTGTGCCAATTGTATGCATCTAAAGCGGATTGCTATAGTGTGCCAATTGTATGCAACTAAAGCGGATTGCTATAGTGTGCCAGTTGTATGCCTCTAAAGCGGTTTGCCATGGTGTGCCAGTTGCATGCATGATATATATGGAGGGTCCCCACAGAATCCTCCATAGACAGAGCCAATTCCCTGCAGCCGTCACTCGTGGCATCTGGGGGTATTGACAATTCTAGTCAACGGTACCTCCGCCCGGTGTCTAGAAGTGCCAGGTGTAGGAAAAATACTGAGACAAAGGGGACCTTACTTTGTCTTTGTATATCTCTTGACTCGGTTGGGATTTTATCTTTATGAAATACTCATTTTACAGAGGGGGTTGACACTGCTGCTTTAAATAAGGTATTCTGAAAAAATGGTTTATTACAGTTAATGAGAGACATAGCTTCCTAAATTCATTTACTGAATAGAGGCATGTACAATATTCTTGCAGGGAAATAATAAATCTGACAAAAGAGAAATTAATGTGTTAACAAAAGGAAGGTGAGTCAAAAGCCAAGAACTGCAAAATACCTGTAAGATATTTGATGTTAAAATCATTTCATTGTTATCATTGTATTAAAAGTCAACGGGTGTACCTATAATGGATGTTACCCTAGCCCTAAGCCTTCATTTTAAATTTGTTAACATTTAGCATTTTTAAGGTATTTATTGATGATTTTTGTATCTCACGACAGAGTTACAGACAGTATTTGCTAAAATCACAAAGTAATGCATGCACTGCACAAATAGCACACATTTAGGGGCTTCTGTGCGCATGTACAGGACTCCCAGATTCTGGTTTTAAGTCATCTACTCAAAAAACACAGGATTGTAATAGGAATAGTTGGAGAGGGAAGAGATTGGGTGAATTATCTAAGTGAGAGTTTGGGGAGGACTTCATGGGTAACTGCGAATCTTGTGTCAATAGCCACCTAAAATGTACTATGATCCATGTCTGCAAATTTATCTCCTTCCTCTGTACATACATCTGCAGATAGTTACTGCGTACCAACATGTGACTAAATGTCCAAATTACAAGACAATCTTTCAAAGGCTGAAATACAATTGTGTATAATTACCACCAAAGCTGCAGGTCTAATTTAAGACCCGAGCTAAGAGATTGGCGTGGAGCAGCCGAACATCTCGTACTTTAAAGACAAGTGGCATTTTATGTAGATCTCATTTCCTAGCACTTGACTGGCATGACATAGAATGGTGTACTGAGACCCTGTACCAATAAACAAATACTCACTGTCTGGGCAGAAAAAAAAGAGGTTGGAGATGTCAGAAAATGATTTCCAGATTTCTGGCACAAAATCTAGCACAATGTAGTAGCGATTCTTTTAACATAAAGTGGGGTATAAAATTACTACATTATGTAACATAATCTTTGTCTGGAGACAGAGCAATTTCCATATAATTTTTGTCTCTCTCTCTCTCTCTTTTTAGATGAATGCTTGGAAGAAGAAAGAAATGGGCTACTGTGGGATATAAAGTATGAGCTCGGGCAATATTATAATTGCGCTACATTGTGAAGTGTTTCAAAGAGAAAATAATTTCATTTTGAAAAAAATATTTATTAATAGGGGGTGATTATTGCAGTAATAAAAGCCAATGATAAATAATTATTATTGTGTCACACTGATTTCATTATTCTACATATTTTATATGTCATATACGCAGATCAGCCACAACATTAAAACCACCTGCCTAATATTGTGTAGGTCCCATTCGTGCTGCCAAAACTGCTTGGATGTGTCGAGGCATGGACTCCATAAGACCTTTGAATGTGTCCTGTGGTATCCCTTGGTATCAACATATTAGCAGCAGATTCATGCAAGTTGTGAGGTG